CAGCAGACGGGGCTGGTGGAGCGGAGCGTCACGCTGGTCAACCTGCTGCCTCACGTCAACTACACCATCCGCGTGGCGGCCGTCAATGGCGTCTCTGGCGTGAGCCCGCTGTCAGGGCAGGCGTATGCCGAGCTCAACATCTCCACCCGCCTCGCAGGGACCGCGCCCTGGGCAGACGGATTGAATCCCCCTGGGTTGTTAGCTGTGCCTAAGGGAAAATCAGCTTGGGCTTGTGTCCTTGTCCGTTCGTCTGTGGTTATGTTACTGATTTGCATGAAAGCCCTTTGCCAAGCCACAGTTAATGGAGACAGATGATCCTCACATACCTCTTGGCAGGAATTGGCCAACAATTTCATCTGAAGAGGTTAAACTTTGATCTTGTTATAAGTAATTCTCCCACCACTTGATCAAATGTTTTTTCTGTGCGTTGTTGCTTTCTCTTCCCTCATATAATAACTTCTGTGAATTCGTTGGGTGGTTGCTGTGCCGCAGACCACTCTTCGGTGGAGGTGTCATTCCTTGTTAGGATCTTTGCTGTTCGAGGATGGGTTTAGCTCTGGGAAGATCTTCTGTCTCCTGAGCCAGCGTATGAGCTGGAACAGGGTGAGCTCAGCGAGGTCTAGCGAGGAGCTGTTGCTCCAGAGGCTCCTGCCTGGTGCTGGGCAGAAGGACTCACGCTCAGGAGCCGTGTCCTTGCCCAGAGCTTCAGGTCTGAGCTGAGGACGAGAGGCTGGGTGCCCGTCCTCTGCGTGCAGTGAAGCAACAAGTGCTGGCCCTCCCCGTGCTCGGCACGGCTTCTCTTCCGGGCGAGTGGGAATCTCAACCCTCGCTCAACACTGTGTTCTCCTGAAGGAACTGCAGTACGCAGAAAGAATATGGCATAATTACTCTCGTAATCTGTTGGAAATCAGTGTCTCTTGTCGAGCTGTGAAGTCTCTGGATGCAGATGCTGGCTCAGAATTAGCTGAGCAGCTGAGACCTCGGGAAGTTTCTTGAAACACTTCAATTTTTTTTTCTTTGCTGCCAAAGGTGTCCCCTCCTGGGTCAGTGCTGGGCTGGAGCTGCTCCCTCCACAGGTGCCTTCACCTTGGCACCATGGGCAAGAAGCGACAGTGATGATTAACCCTTGCCCATAGGCGTGGAGGTGGAGAAGGTCACGTCCTGGGGATGTGGCTTCTTGTTCTAGTTTGCCTGTCACAGCCCACACGGGCAGGGGTGTGAGGAAAGCTGTGCACGGTGGGGGCAGGACATGACTGGCTCACAGAGCCATCTTCAGCGAGTCCTCGGCCCTGGAGCCCCTCGTCACTAGAGCCCGTCACAGAAGTTCCGGATGGGGACAGAGACGAGGAGAAAGGGAGAGCGGGGGCCTGAGGCAGCAGTGACTCCCTTGCCAGCTGAGGCGCGACGGTCTTGGAAGTCATCTGCAGCAGCGGGGAAGCTCTGGCTGCAGATATGCAGATTCAGAGGAAAAATTAAACAAAGAAACAAGACCCTATTTAGCTGTCAGATCCCCGCTCCTCTAAATATAGCTCTGAGTGCGGCTTTCACACTGCCCTTCCCCTTCAGCAGTCACAAGGGGGAATTAGCCGTTGTTCATTGTATTTGCAGGGGAAAAGAAAAGATGCTATTTAGCCTGCAGGAGTCAAAATTAATACTGTGTTTTTTCTAATGTGGCCTCAGCATGGGACTAAATAAAAGTGTTTGAGGAGAGAATGGAGCTGTTTACCTGCAGGAGCAGAGCTGCGTTAGCTATGTAAATGCACACTCTGGGACGATGTCATTTATATTCCCGGCAGGGATCGGCTCCTGTCTTAAAGGGCTTTTAAATCTGTTGCAGATTAATAATGCAGCCAGCGCTGAAGTGCATTCTCCTTTCTGAGGTGCTTTGTGCTGAGTTAGGTCCTCTGCAGCAGCAGCCCCAGGCAGCGGGGCCGGTGGGTCCGTGTTGGGGCTGGGGTCTCACGTTGGCTGCGTGTCTGCTCGGCTGCCCCGGCTCTGGGAAGGTCTGGGGAGAGCACCCCTGGGGAGGGCTGGGCTGGGCACCAAAGGCTCAGCTCAGCTCCGTGTTGTCCCCCTCGAAGGGCCCCCCGCGTTTGGGATGCGGCAGGCTGTTCAGACGAGGGACACGGTGCCCGTGCCTGGTTTTGTGCTGTTTCTGCTGGCACTCTGGTTAGTTAATTAAGAGGAGTAAACCCACATTCAGTGAGATGGAGTTTATAAAATCAGGCAGAGTGGTGAATAATTTAATGTTTGCTTTTTCAGAAGAGAGGCAATGTTAGTGGAGCTTAAAATATTGATGGGAAACGCGTTTTTTTCACGGTGTGAAATGCTTTATAGTCTGTATGATTTTCTTTAATGCCTTTTAAACATGTTTGAGGCAAGTGCCTACTTTTTTGGCGTGTACCATGGGTTCTGCTTTACAGCTCATCGCTAAGTGAGTGTGATTTTTCCTGATGACTGTGTTAAGTCAGGACCACTTGTTCAGGTTTCCTCAGTCCATTCACTAAATTCAGAGATACAGGAGAGCATCTGTGTGATGTTTTATTGATGGGAATCATAGAAACCAGCAAGGAGCACTTAACTTATTTTACAGGAGCAAACCCCAAGTTAAGTGTCAGGCTGGCCTCAGCTGCTGGTGTTGATTGTTGTGTTGTAAAACACGCGGTGACGCGTGCTTGTGCCGCGGCCGCTGGCTCGGGGTGGGGGTTACCCGCTGGCCCAGCGACGAGCGCTGCGAGCACGCCTGCATGTGCTCCTCTTTGTGCACATGGGTCAGGGTTTTTGTGACACTCGTGAAGGAAGTCGAGACTATTTTATTTCCCTGTCGGTTCCGTATCCCCTTAAAGATCAGTGCTGGAGCTGACGTGTTTACTTGGACAATTATTTGTGACGGACAATTATTTGTGCCCTGCTGTGCGGGAGCTGCGCCCGGGGGCTGCTGCCTGCCCCTCGGTCTTCGCGCTCTTTCAGGGGAAGCCAAAGGGACTTGGAATCAAGGAGAAAATTGTCATGAATAAAACATCAGGAGGACTTTTTTTCTTCAGCAAAGATTAATGAGCTAAGTAATAAATATAAAATTTCACAGATATTTAAGTTGGCTTTCCAGGGACTTGTTCCTCTCTGCAGGAGGCTCAGTGGGATGGTCAGGGTCCAGCAAACCCCTCGATCCGATGGAGGAGCGGGACAAGCAGAAGCACCTGCAGAAGCAGAGCGCTCTTCGGCTCTTTAAATTGCTGAAGCTTTTACTGTGGCATCACGGGGCAGAGACAGAGATGGTGTGACAGCGGCTGAGCACGTCTGTGCTGAGGGGGGACTCACAGGCAAGATGAACACGAGAATAGAGTTAAAATTCCTTGTAACCTGTGATCTCCTGGTTGCACTTACTTGGCTATTGGGAACCAAAGTGTGGTGGCACGCCGTGTCACTGCCTGTGTCCCTGGGGCTCTGGGGGGCGGGGAGGGCGCCCCGGCAGCCCCCCCCTGCTTCCCTCCACTCTTTCAGCGCCGACTCCTGTCACCGACATCCGCACGGATAAAGTTGAGCAGAAGAGCATCTCCTTGTCCTGGCAGGAGCCGAGCTTCCCGAACGCCAACGGCACCGAGTACGAGGTCAAGTACTATGAGAAGGTAGGCTCTGGGGACAGGCTCTGGGTACCAGCTCGGGGTCATGCCACAGGCCTCCTCGGCCAACTCCCAGGAGCTTCCCTCGCCAGCTGGTGCCACCGCTCCCGGTGCCACCGTGTGAAGCTCAAGTGGTGGGAATGGGAGGGAGCGTGTGTCGCAGACAAGCTGCTGTGAGGACTTTACTGGCACCTGAAAGTAAGAGCAGTGCTTCAAACAGGGCCCAATACAGTCTTTTCCTCTCCGGGAGCGTTATGCAATCTGCTTATGCAAGTTTTAGGAAGTTTGGGTTATTTGTAGAGTGTATGTTAATTAGTGTGTCTTCCTCCATCTGTGCCGCAAGATTTCATCCAGTCGTAATGCTGACATCTCCCTGGGAGAAAGAGTAAAGCCAATACTTTCATTCATTCTTTCCTTTTTTTTTTTTTCTTTTTTTTATGCATTGGATGGCTTTTTCTGAGGACATTTAGAAATCTGAGGTTTGGGTGCTTGCCATTAGCCAGCTAGACAGGGACTGCTAAACTGCACTGGGTTTCTAAATCTGTGATGACATGGCACCTATATTCGTAACCTGCTCTCTGGGGAAGTGTTGGGCCCCGTGATCTTCACAGTTTAGGGCTGAGTATGAGCAACCCCTGGCTTGGGTGAGCTCTGAGTGGTCGTCTGCGTGGGAGAGGACACAAGCAAACATTTTTATGACAGTTTCTTAATTTTAAAAATAGCTGGTTTTTGACAGATGTGGTGGGTTGAGAATTTTAGAAGAAATACTGGTGGGCAGAGAGCAGGGACAATGCTCTAGATCAAAATAAATGTAGTTTATGACACGGTTCCACAAATTACCTTATCTGCGTGTGCTCAGGCTCGTTACGAAACTGATTACACGTCAGGCAAAATGTGGAGGTGGTATGCTGGCGTTCCGTGTTTAGAAACAAGCTACCCTGAAGGTGATTCATATTAGTGTGATTTTTGGTATCTGATAGATTTGAAAGGAGAAATCTGTGAGTGAGGGTGAACACTGAAGCCCGAGATAGTAATTCCTTGCAGATGGGCTGCAGCAACGAGATACCCCGGGTAGGTGAAGTGAGGAAATGTCCTGCTTGGGTAGGAAACTCAAACTACAGTTTAGCAGTTATTCACGCAAATGAGACTCTTGATGCTGACGTGAAAATCAACTTAGTTCCTAATCTGTGCTTTTAAAGCCGTGCTTTAACAATGGGCATTCAAGGGGAAAAGCGTATCCGATGGAGAATATGTTCTGCAGTGGCGTCCCTGGCCCTGGGAGCGGAGGCCCTGCCAGCCCGCGGGGCTGAGACCCTCCTCTGGGAGTGAGACGAGTGACCAGCGTCCTGGGGACCGGGACCTGCCAGCCATGACGACTGTGTGTGCACCAACACACACGTGTTCACTGCGGGGCTGCAGCAGGGCCGTGGGAAGGGAGCGGGGTGGATGTGCCGAGCGGGGCAGCACAGCTGCTGCCACCACCCCGTCCTCCGCCTGCCTTCACAGCACGTCAGCTGGCCCCATCTGCCATTGCACGTGACCTTTCCGTGTAATTCCTGTTAATGAGACATCGAGCAAATGTATTCTTTCTGGCGAAGGTTTTATGCCGAGATGGGCTGTCCTGATGGGACCCAGAGGCGAAGATACAGCCATGCTGTGCCTGCACCGTGTCGCAGCTGTCAGTCTGGCTCGACCTTGAGTATCTCGTTATTTCACAGGATCAGAGAGATCAAAGTTACTCAACTGTGAAAACCACATCAACGGCTGTGACGATCAATAACCTGAAGCCTGGCACCCTCTATATTTTCCAAATCCGGACATCTTCCTCGCCTGACTATGGAAATTACAGCCCTAGTATTGAAGTGGAGACGCTGACAGAACGTAAGTGTCGGCAGAGCTCGTCGCCTCATGCGCGCACCTGCAGGGTGGGGCTGAGTTGTGGGGGTGCTGCTGCTCCTGCCGGGGATGCTCTTGGTTTTGTGGAACAGCATCTGTCCCTCAGGTTCTGCTGCTCCGGGTCTAAGAGCAGACACTTCCCAGGACTTGTTTTTAATTGCATTTTCTGATTTGATTTTAAGAAGGTCGTCTTGTCCTCGACGTGTCTGTCCTCACTCTTCTCCCTGCAGCGTCGGCGAGGGCAGCCGGTGTCTGGCTCCTCTCTGGAGCAGAGCTGGGGACAGTCCCTGTATCTGAGATTGCCCAAGAAAGCACTTGGTGGAGCTGGGGCGTGTTTGCCTCGGTGTGATGCTGGCTTTGGAACAGATCTCACCAGGTCCCTTTTTTGGGGCCACCAAGCAGGGGCTGGGAGGGAGCAAGTGCTGGTCCCTGCAGTCGTAACTGCAACGGCACGATCCTGCCCAGGGCTGCGGAGCCGAGCAGCTCGCAGCGGTGCTGCAGGGACAGGCTGCAGCAGGAGGCAGGGACGGGCTGGAGACCCTTGGAGCTGCCTTGGACACGTGCCCCAGGCAGGAGGTGGCTGCCTGCCCCTGCTGCCGTCCTGGCTCCTGCGGCACTTGGCCTGTTCGCTGCTTGGCTGGATAAGCTCGGCCGGCATCAGGATTGTTTGCTGGGGCTTTTCCTTTTCACAGCTTCCATTCGTAACTGTAGTCCAGAAGTGTCTTATTTCACTGACTCAGAGAGGGCTTGGAGAGATGGTCGGGCTTCAGCTTAACCACCCACCCTGGCTAGAAATGAAAGCCCTGGGATGGCTGGCTCACAGCTCTCGCAGATTGTGTTTAACAGGGCTTTAAATTGCATCCATTTGCCACACAGAAGACATTTTCAGAATGAATTGAAACCAATAAAAATTTTATATAGAACGTAGCATTCTAATATCCGTGTTTGCAAAACCAGGAAGGGAAGGGATTAATGTGATGAAGGAAAACTATTTGTAAAGCATAAATTTTAATGTGTCCCTCGGATAAACAGGAACCTTTCCTCAGCACTGATTAACGAAACCCCGTTGGCACCCGCAGCACTGTCCTGCGCCTTGGGCTGGTTGCACCAGCTTGAGCCTTTAAACGCAAACAGGAGCATGGATGCTGTGGGGATGGGGGGAGGCAGTGGGTGTGTTGCCCCACAGCCTTGCTGGCAGGCATGGGGAGGAGTGACCGGGGCTGCCTCGTGCCCTGGCCCTGCTCCGGGACATGATGCCAACCTGCTCTGCTTCCCTCCGCAGTGACAGTGGTCTCCAGTGAGCAGAGCCCTGTCCTCATCATCGCGGTGGTGGCCATCGCGGGGCTGACGGTGCTGGTGTCCATGGTGATCGGCGTGATGGTCTGGAGGAGGTGAGCGGGGGCACGAACGAGGGGCTCTGGGGCTTGGGG